AATGCAAGGAACTCTGTAAAACAATTAAGTCAAGAATGAGGAAAGAAGAGAACCCAGGACACAGAGAGAACGCACGACAGGGTGACGTGAAGATGTCATAACAAGCAGTGGGAGCGTGAAAGCGGCAAGCACACACTCTTAAGACAGCGAGATGGGATCAAACCGCAAGATGAACTATGCAACCAGCCACTCGTGTCATTGTGGAGAAGGTAAGAAATGAAAGAAATGTAAATAGGCAACACGCCCTCTTCACAGATCTGTCCCATCAGCCACCTTGTGCTTCTGGAAGTGCCATGATCTTAGTAATAGCGGCTCAGCCATAATCCAGGTTTTTTTGGGTTAGATCGCATAAATATATTAATGTGACGTTAAACCCGGCCACCACCCGACACAACCAACTAGTAAGGGTTGTCGCGTAAACAGAACGTGGCCAATTCGTCACTAGTACAGCACACCGGTGTGTTGGAGAGCCAAGGCACAACATTTACAATCTGAGTACGACATTTCGCCAGTAATTACAATTAGCTTCATCAGGCGACAGTTGTACTAGTAACGAATTGGCATGTTCTATCTTGATTTGAGGCTTTCGTGACTGCAGGAATCCATACTCTTTGGTGATTTCGGTGAAGTCACGTAGTTAGAAAATTCTGTTTACGTGACAACCCTCACTAATTGGCTGTGTCGGGTGGTGGCGGGTTTAACGACACATTTATATATTTACGCGATCTAACCCAAAAAAAAACCTGGATTATGGATGATATTGGTCGCGAAAACCTTCTACGTGTTAAACGGACTAATACTGGTTCAACACAAGCAAACTCTGGACCGGTTTCAACATTCAGTGCCTCATCAGCACAGTCAGGCTTGCTTGAACCAACAATGCCGGTGAACTGCCAGCTGTTTAGAGGCTATGGGTCATGGGTTTGTCTCTCGGTAAAGGACTCTAAAAACTCGCAGCGGAATCTGATGCGAATTTTTACAGCCAATTATTTTAAATATAGTATATGTATTTGTTCCAGGTATCGATGAGGATGTTCCAGCTGTCACAGTTAAAGTAGTAGCCACTGCACCTCATTGAACGAAAAAGGAGAAATGCTCTCAGACGCAGATGGAATTGTGGATATCATCGACGAAAGTGGCAGCAGCTGTCACAGCTACATTGGCTGAAGCATTTACAAACGTTTACGCAGATGTGAAACATCTCAATGGTCGTATGGTGCCCTCACTATTGAATCTATTCAAAAATAGGATGCAAGACTGATGTGACTGTTGCATACCTATCAGCCTCTTGGCTCAATTATATGAACTCGTCATGAAGATTGTACAGAAGTAATTTAGAGGCAAATCAAAAGCGACAACCTTAATATCCACAATCTAGAAAAGGCAATTCAATATCGAATACCATTTCAATTGGGAGTTGAAGACAATGAAAAGTTAGTCGAGTCTGTGGAAACTGATATATTCATCCAAGTTCTCACAAACCAAAGCCTTTATACCGTATATATAAAAATGCACATACAGTACATAAATAAACATGCTAGAGCGACGCTGCAATTGCATGAGGAATAGTAACAAAATCCAAAACATGCGAGGAATAAATGCTCTCATCAAGGCTACGGATGGTGAAACTTGACCGTATTCTCAAAATTGGATTGGAGAAATAAAGGCACGCAGGCCAGTGGAGAGAGTATGAAGCCACCTCATTGCAACAACCAATGGAAATCGACTTCGGTAATCTTTTGATGAACTTAACAAAGGAATGCCGCAAAGTAGGACTAAGAATAAGCACGAGCGAAACAAAAGCCACGTCAAAGAAAGTTTGACGAACAAAAGGGAATAATTGGAGGGCAGACACAATGGGAAAGCACAGCGGAGTGTGCGTTTCACACGTAGCCTTCTGCGACCAATATCCATAATAAAGGGGTTTTTTGGGGTTTGATCGCGTAAATATAAATGCGTCATTAAAGCAGCCACCACCCGACACAGCCAATTCGTAAGGTTTGTCACGTAAACAAAACTTGACAATTAGTTACTACTTCAACAGACAACGGTGTGTTGGAGAGTAAAATCCCACGACGTTTACAATTCGAGTTAACGACGTTTCGCTGGTGATTACAACAACCAGCTTCATCAGGCGATAGGCCAGAATTGTGAAGAAGTATTCCTGTTTCTGTCTTAAAGGGTAGACTGGAATACAGTGTCTGTCTGTCTGGGGCAATCCGTGAAGGTGGACCGGGGCACAGACGCTGACGTAACGCGGCGAGCAACAGCAACAATTTGGAGTTGCTTTTTGGGGAAATTAATTTGACAATGACGAGCCCCGTAATGAAAGCTCCGAGAGAAGACGTGTTTGTTTTATTCGGTGTGTTGGCGAATGGAAACATCGACTACGACAACCACCGCTGAGCAAACAGCTGAAAAGTGCATGCTTATGCACAGAGAAATGCATGCTTGACAATGCACCAGGACAAAGGAATAGAAAATTTCGGATTAGAGAACAGATGCACATTATGGACAATCTTGTTGACTGTTAACAAAAAAAAGGTAAACTGGTTTGGGAAATGCTAGCTGGCTTTGGCAATACACATCGAATAGGAAGACGACAGTGGAGGATGGAGAGATGAGATCAGCCCATAGGCAGGATGTTGGTGAAGCAGAGAGGCCTTCATCCAGCATGAAGGTGATGATGAACAGGAATCAGGAATCACCCACAGGTGGTGGGGGATATTTCCTGTTAACTTTGAGCTCAGACAAGAGTCACTGCTGCAGAGTGGTGCAACAATATCTCAGCACCCACGCACATCTATGGGTGAAGTCAACCGGAAGTACTGAGATGACTTTGTAGGTAAAGAAAGTTGACAAACAGATCTAATTTACCACGATTCTCAATCACCAACACGACCAACCCCAACCTCGCCTAGATTCCTGCCCAGATACGTTGGGCCCGTTCCCTGGGATGGTAACTAGGCCGATGTGGGTACAGTGTTGGTGTACACACAGTGTTGGTGTACACACAGTGTTGGTGTACACACAGTGTTGGTGTACACACAATGTTGGTGTACACACAGTGTTGGTGTACACACAGTGTTGGTGTACGGTGCTTTTTCTACAAGATTTTTCTGTCTTTTCTTGGATTTTCTGTTTGCACATAGTCACTTTAAGATGTTTTCTTGTTCATGTTTTTGTTTTTTTGTTTGTTGCGGTTGCACCCGATTCAAGAGCCGAATGGCTCACAGGGCTATACCTAATAAATGAAACTTGAAAATGAAACTTGAAACTAGAGAAATCAGTGAGCGGTGGGGGGGCCATGCCCGCTGCCTCGCTTACTCTTCATCCCATGAATTAGTGGCTGCCATTACGCGATTGTAACTACAGCGTCGCATTTGATGCCCATTTTCCCCTTGCGTTGCACGGCACAATTATTCAACGCCCTGCACCATAATGGAGCGTGCATGCAATTGTTATTATTACGGGAGGGCAACCGTAAATATTTGTTTTAGCCAGCTGCAATTAAACTTGCATGTGCAGAGAAAGAAAAAAGAGAGAGAGAGAAAATTCCGCTTGATGACTTAAATGAAAAGGGTCCGCACAGTGAAATGAATAAGGGCACTCGAGATGGGACCAGGGATGGAGAGAGCCGAGCCTAAAGCTGCCAATTATTCTTGGACAGATAGCCGTGCGTGCATCCTGCAGGCCACGTAAAGTATGCCGACGCATCGATTCATCGTCCAATATTAATTTCTAAGCATTCGGGGCGCGTGCATCGATTCAACGGGATAAGAATCGGTGTAATTTTAGTTGTCGATTCGTACACGTTGCATGCAGTGGGTTTCATGTGGTCCCCACAGCCGCAATTGGCCACTCCATTCATCATTTTGTTTTAAAGACAAAGAATCGATGTACTCACGGGATCTGATAGTAGAAATGTGACGATACAACCTCCTCACGAGTTGATTGCTTAGCACGGTTCTGGGTTTGCTCAACACTACAAGAATTGCTTGCATTTGTCTCATTTTTCGCATTCTCATTTGTATTGTTTTTAAGGCTCACCAGTCTTGTTTGCACAGCTTTTTTTTATTTACTTCAGTTGGTATAAATGCGAGGTTAGCATCAAATGTGCATGTCGCGAGAGCAAGAGTCGATTTTAATTTACGAATCAATTCATCGTTACTTCAACAGACAAAACCCATTATTGTGTTTGAGACAAACATTGAGCAAAAAAACAATACCTTTTTCCCGGCTCGTGGGTGGCAATGTCAGTGATTGGCACGCAGCGCTACAACCTCACAACCTCACAAAAGCAGGTTGGAATCTGATGATGCACATGTCTAACACGAGTTAGGTCACGACTATTTGCATCTTACACCATTGGAACCTCATTTGCCAGTAAAAATATGATATTTGTTTTTTTACCCTTCTATCTGGCAACAAAACTGACACCTTTTTTTTGGCGTCATCTGGTCCAACCCATGTGAGCCTAGGCTCTAAGGAAAGCTGTCTCGGGTGTGGACCAATCAACTTCAAGGACAGTGCACATTATCAGAGTTATGTTTTTTTTTGCATTATGACTGCAGGTATTGTGGTCTATGCAAACATGACTCCTTGTAAAAAAAGGCGTCAGTTTTGTTGCCAGATAGAAGGGTAAAAAACAATTATCATATTTGCATTTTCACACATTTTGTACCAGTTAAGGCCCACTGAGCTATATGGATCTTTTTTCAGAAGCGACCTGGCTCTGACAATTGATAGCTCGACGAAGTGCCTTATCAGGTGGAAATATATAGCGGACAAATACTTTAAACGCGTGATGTTGATTCTAAATGCGGAGGGAAAAACTGGAGGACCTGGAGGAAAATCCACGCAACCACGGGGAGAGACACGCAAACTCCAAATAAGCAGGCGCCAGGCTTGGGATGGAACCCACGACCTCCTGCATACCAAGCGAGGAGGACAATAATCACACGAACAACAACAACAACCGGATGTGTCGGCACACTCACCCCAGCATCATCTCCCGCCTCCATATAGTCTTGGGCTGTCGAAAAGTCGAGCGGCGACGGAGACGCAGGCTCTTCCGTGGAATGCGAGCGCTGCATCCCACCCGCGAGGCCCGCTTTGTCGTCCAGCGGTCCCTCGAACGCCGAGAAGATTCGTCCGTCATCACCGCCACGGCCACGGCCGCCTCCGCCGAACGACTGAGACCGATTGACTGCAGGCGTGGGAACCCACGCCGCCACCGCGGCCATCCCGGTTAAGGGCAGTCCCTCCTGCGCATCCTCGTACTCATACCCGACACTCTCGTCATCTTCAGCATCCTCTTCCCCCTCGTCATCGTCATCTTCATCGTCGTCATCGTCGTCATCGTCATCGTCGTCGTCATCATCATCCTCACTGTTGCCTGGTTGCTGCTGCTGTGGTGGCTGTGGTGGCTGCGGTGGCTGCTGCTGTTGCTGTTGTTGCTGCTGCTGAACAATATAATCGCTGTTCCGTCGTTGCAGCTGTTGTTGTTTCAGCACGTTGTTGCCCACGCCATCAGGCAAGTCCTTCCCGGCCGTCTCGGCGACCGCCACGCAGTCGTTCATCGAGCTCCTTCGCGCCGCGGCCGCCACCTCTTGTGCCGCGGCGGCGGCGGTGGCGTTTTGCGAGGCCGCGTTTTCCGCGCACTGCGGCCCGTTGCTCGGCCGCTCGCGGTAAATGACGCGGATGACGCGCTCGCGGGGAGCGCTCGCTTGCTTGGCGCCGTCCGCGGCGTCGGAGTCGGGCCTGTCCTCGCCTTCGCCCACCTCCCCCTTCACGTCCCACTGCTCGACGCGATCCAACCGCTCGCGGTACTTTTGCTGCGCTCCGCCGGCGGCGATGGTGGCTCCGGCGGCCGCGGCGGCGGCGACGGCGGCGGCGTCCACGGCATCAACGCCGGCGACGCCGTTCTCGGCAGCGACCCCGGCCGCCGCGGGCCCACGTCCCAGCACCAGGGCGTACTTGGGGTTGAGCATCCGGCGGGAGGCGGCGGCGTTCACCGCCACGGCCGGTTTCGAGGGGCTCGGCTCGGGGTCCTGCCCGGCGTTGGGGTCGTCGGGAAGCTTCAGGGACTCGGTGCGGACCGGCTTGCTGGCGGCGTAGAGCTCGCGGAACTCCGTGTCGAACGTGTCCACGATCTGCCCCGTGAGGACCGTGATGATGTTGCGGTCGAGACGGGACGCGGACCACGTGAAGCTTGGGGAGACGTCGGCGGGGAGAGACAACGGCAGAGAGATGAGCGGAGACGGAGAGGGAGGGAGTCATGGACCAATCATCTTCATTGATCATTATTATTGTTACTACACAACGAACAAATGCCAGGACATGTACTATCCCAATGGAGAATGTACAGCTTTCCCAGCAGATCAGCTGCTTCAACACGAGGAATGTTCCTCTTAGTACTTTTTTACATCATTGTGGGATGCTTTGATGTTGTCTGACGGTTGAGTCGCCCTTGAAAACGAGATTCTTAGCTCAATGGGCTTTACTCGGGGGGGTGGGGGGGGGGATACACTTCTGATTCTGAGGCGGCAACCCTCAGCGCTGTGACAAGAGGCTGTGAGGTGAACGTGGAGGTTGCTCACCTGTAGGAGCCAGCGATGGCTTTGTCCCCGTCGATGATCATGAACTTGTGGCCAAGGACACCGTTGATGACATTTCCGTTGCGCGTGCTGAAGGAAGCCCCACACGCGCTGCGGATGCGCATTTTCTGCAACGGCACCGTACGTACGCCACGCACGTCGTTACGTGCTGCCAGAGATATTGAAAGCGATTTGTAAGGACCGCCGACAGTCGCAAAACCAATTCGGGAACGCGCAAATCCAATCCTACGTGAGTGTACTGCACAGGACAGGATTCAACTGCGACTGCAATGACTCGCGGGGTTTTCTGCGCAGACGGTCACCACATCAGACGCACTTCTGCGGCCATCTGGAAGGCTCTTCCTTCCGATATCAGGAAGCCACTGGAGCTATGCACTTTAAATCATCTCGAATGACACACGCATTTCTTTAGAACTGCTTTTTGTGTTTAGTTTGTTGTCCTTCCCCCGCACCTTCGATTCGCACGGCCGGCGATGTGCAGTGCGAAAGAAGTTCAACATACATACATTAAGACAAGCGCGTATAACAATAAACACTCAGCGCATTCGTTAATTACATTGCGGCGTTACAAATACGAAGTGGATATAGAGAGGTCGGACAGACAGACTAGCCAAGTGCTGCATAGAAGGCCCATTGCCTGAAGCGGTCACCCATTTTCCACCCTATAAAAGTCTGCAATCAGCAGCTTTCCTCCTCTTTCCTCCCGATGACGATCGCTTGTGTTGCGATCGAAACGTTGTAGTTTTTTGTTATTTTATTTGAACCTATCTACGTGAAAAAACTTAATTTGGAGCTTTTGTGACTGCAGGAATTACTCTTTGGTTCTTTCGGTAAAGTCACGTATAAAGAGAAAATAATAAATTAAATACTAGCATACGACGTTTCGATTGCAACACAAGCAATCATCATCAGGTATGAATGAAATAGAAACACAAATCTAGTATACTTAGAAATGTAATGTAATACAAGAGAGTCGGATACCATAACAGTCAACACCCTACCTGGTTGATTACGTTCTTCCTGACTTTAACGAAAGACCCAAAGAGTATGAATTTCTGCAGTCACGAAAGCTTTAAGTCAAGATTACGGTCACCCATTATGTAGTTTTCTTCGTAAGGCCACCGTGTTGATAACACGAAGCACGTTGCGCTTTTTGTTTAGCCATTCTTCTCCGTGCATCGCTGCCGATGCAGCAGCATTGCCAAATAATTAGTTTCATTTGGATAACACGATGTCAGCATCGCTTTGCATGCTATTTGGGTTCTTTTTTACTTCGTGGGTTCGATTTCCATTTTTTTTGTTTGCAATTCCTTAAAAACACGATTTCACAAAACATGCGGGACACAGTACGTGTGCCCGCATGATCTTGAGGACACACTGTATCGTGTAGTACACACACACTCAGATTGTATTTGAAAGCCACTGGAGCTATGCACTTCTAAATCCAGATTGAAAACTAAATTATTTAGAACTGATTTTCATATTTAGCTTGTCGTCCAGTTGGCTACGTACGGTGCGATAGAACTTCAACATACACACGTACACGAACCTGTGGCCTGATTGGGATGTGGAAACATCTCCATGCCTGTCAACCCCTTATCAGCGCCGACATTATTACGGACCAATTCAGATTTTATTGGTCACCTCGTGTCCCTTATAAATCTCAACGTTCATCCTATAAGGTCCCATCACAAGGGAGAAACACAAACGAATAGACAAAAACATATTTTTCTAACCATATTGAAACGGCTGTACACCGTATGGACCTGAAAACTCAATTTCCTGTACAAGAATACGGTTAAACCGTATGGGTTGACAGCTATGGCATACATCAAATTATAAATGTTGTGGATTTACTCTCCAACACGCCGGTGGGCTGAAGTAGTAAATAATTGGCGTGTTGTTTACGTGACAAATCCCTTACTAATTGGCTGTGTCTGGTGGTTGAAGGTTACGACACATTTACACTTACGCGATCTCACCCGAAAACCTTCATTATGAAGGTAAGACATACGTCCACGAACCTGTGGCCTTATTGGGATGTGGAAACATCTCACCACCTCTCTGTTACATTTTGATAGCTTCAGACGAAAGACATGTGACCTCTTCCGCCTGATTCCCAGCCGTTTCATTGCCTGCTGCTAGGCTCGGCATACATTTTCCACATCAGCAATTAGATTAATCGTCGCGATTCGAGTTGAATTCAATTCGAGAATCAATTCGTATTTGTTCGTGCTATTTCTCGATTTGTTGTCTTCAACAGGGTTGTTCAGAGTATTTGTCCAAATTAAGGGTAGGGCCTCCTTCTCCTTTATGAAGGCCATTATGGTGAAGTATGGACAAACAACCCCCACATGAATAATGCACCGTGGGGAGGTCTTTATCCAGCGGTGGATTGACAAAGGGGTGTACATTATTATAATTCCCAGATGCCACTGATGTGTGGTTTCCATGCAAAAAATGGACACATTTTTGAGGTTCACTCCAAGTTTTGCTCGAGATAATCGTGATCAAAACGTGGCTTCGATTCGGGCAGGGTGCCCAGGCGCGCTGGAGGCAAAATCGGAGGGAAATTGTTTTTGACTAACCCTGTTTACGTTTTCTCTAGCTGCAAGTGATCTCATGATGCTTGCTACTTGCTGCGTTTTTACAAACCAGTCCGATCAGATTTAATTCTTTGTTTTGTATGAAGAACAAAAAAGCTTAACCTATTTGCCAACATTTTGATAAATGTGCAACGTGCTTTTTTATATAATAGCAACCCACACGTTCTTTTGACATGACGTTCCGTCTGTCCTCTGAGCCAACCAGCAAAACATTGTATCTGATATGGAGCCGCTGTCTCTGTGCTTCCAGTATTCAGGGGCCTGCTTAAGGCACGGCTCCGGCTGGAGCTCGCGTACCACACACATGTCGGTGATGTTCATGTCTTCTTCGAACGCTGGGGAGCCAGAAAAGCCCCTCTCTGCACCAGCGTGGACGGCACCCTCGTGTTCACCTTCTGAAGCGCTCGCTCGTCACCGTGGCGTGCGCGATGACCACCACCAACACCACCACCACGTGACTTTTCTTTCGTGTTGTGCGCGGTGCATTTAGCGCCACGGCGTGTGGATTTATAGCGTTTGTTTTCATTTGTTTGCTGGTGACTTTGTATTTCATATCGGAATCGCCTCCAGTGCTGTTGTTGCTGGCGGCAATAAAAGTTGTTGAAAAGTCAAAAGTCTCTCTCTCTCCACCTGTCTCGATCCTTCACTCTATTGCGTGTCTGAATTTATTATTTTCGATTTCTCACTGTGTCTCTGTTTCTATTGGCTCCTCCTGTACCGTGCTGCCGATGTATTTCATGAAATGTGCGTCTGTGCAATATTCTGCTCCGATGGGAATGAGTTCATAATTGAGCAAAATGCGGCCTCGTTGGTTCGACCGTGAGAAGATTAGCAGTAGAATGAACTCAGCTGGTCAACTCTTTGGCACTTTCAAAGATCAACATTTTTTAAAATGAAAAAGCACTGGGTTAATCTATTTTCAAGTTGACAACAATGCACTTTTTGTTTACCAAACATGCAGTAGACTCGTTATTCAAAACAAACAGAAGTATGCATGTTGATCTTCTTTCGAACCGTGCTAATCTGAAGTGACCTGGAAGTGACAGCCGATTCTTTCTCTGATACGTGGACAATAGTTAATAGCCACTAATCCAAATACAGGATGGAAGCCTGCCAATGCCATGCCAGTCATGGGCATTATTAGACCAAACTTCACCAAGCTAGTTACTAGCTTGTGTTGCCTCCGAAACGTCGTGATTTTATTTTATTTTTATTTTACTTTTATTAATTTAAAATTTTTACCTACGTGACTTTACCGAAAAAACCTAAGAATATGAATCCTTGCAGTCACGAAAGCTGCAAATCTAGAATTAGTTAGTAGAGGTTCATGAAGGAGCCCAGGATATCATTCACCACCGATGAAGCGTAGCCAGAAATGAAACTCCGATCTCTTGGGTTGAGAGTGTGGTATGGATTATCTGGAGGTATTTTTTGCATACAACCACAGATGCTGTCATACGAGCTGTCAGTAGTGCCTCCACATATTGCCAAAGATACAGGGGCTCATTATGAACAGATATTTTAATTTAACCGTGCAAGAGTTATGAAAGGAGATACGGGGTGCGGCTTCTATCGTGTCGTGCGATCGGCCTCTTACGAGTCCTCTCTGCCTCCTCCATGCTCGAACAAGAAATATGGCGAAATGCATATCCATTTGGTGGCCGGAGCATATGATGGCAATTCTGCATTCTCAAGACAGGATCATCAAATCTACGTAAAAATCACTGTTAACTTCCAACGGTGGAACTTGTTTCACAGACCCCAGAGGCATAATGATGATGATAGCTTTGGTGAAGATGATGATTATCATAATGATAATGATGATTGTAATGATACAAATTTTTCATGTGATAATAATATATTACATTCATTAGAAATAATACGTTTTTTTATATATACATCGGGGAATCTTAGAGTGATGATTGCAGCGAGGCTCATGATGACGTAAATCATGGTGATGATGATGCTGATGGTGAAGGGCCGAGTCAATCCTCGACCGGGATCTGAACCTGCAACTTCTAACTTGTGAGTGGAGCATTATAACCACAGCTCCACTAACTCATCGCTTGAAATAATTACCAGAAAAGCGTTGCAATCCAGACGATGGATTCATTAAGCAATTAGCCCCATGTGTAATGGGCGGGGGTGTACATTTAAATGTTAATCCGACCAACGGTTGCTTTGACCTCCTTCCCTCCACCGATTTGACCCAAATAACTGACAATTTTTCGTGCTCCCTTTCATTATCTAAGAATTTATATATTTTTAAAGGAATATAATATCTCTTTGAGATTAAATTGCAAGTGTGCCAATGGAATCATGTCATGACACACGAAAATAACATATTCAGAACTCTGCTTTGCTAACAAGTGCATTCCGTCAAATAATGGTCCAGGAAGATGATGTTGCAGAACTACTTTTGAAGTCACTTCACCCAGCCTTTTTTTAATCTGCATCCGTGGCTCACCATTTATATGCCTTGCAAAGAAAGTTTGATGCCA